CTCTTCGTTCATTTTTAGCTCAACACGGTATTTCTCATTTTATAACTCCTCCATATACACCAGAACTTAATGGTATCAGTGAGCGTCGGAACCGACACATAGTTGAGATTGGTCTCACACTTCTCCATTCCAGCTCACTCCCTCTTAAGTTCTGGTCCCATGCCTTCCAAACCTCGGTTTATCTCATCAACCGCCTCCCATCTTCTTCTTTGTCCAAAATTTCACCCTTTGAAAAATTGTTTAAAATTCGTCCAAACTATCTTAAACTTCGGGTTTTCGGGTGTTTGTGTTATCCTTGGCTTCGGCCATATAATTCTCACAAACTTCAATTTCGATCTCGTCCATGTTTGTTTTTGGGGTACTCCACCACCCCCCTTGGATACAAATGTCTTGATTTGGTCTCTAATAAAATTTTTCATTCTCGGCATGTGGTATTTCATGAAAATGTTTTTCCCTTTCACAATAAATCTGCCCCATCCTCCCCTCCGGTTTCTGCCCCTTTGGATCCATCCCGTGACATGCCATTGTTCTCTCTCCCCGGTGCACCTCATGAGCAGCTGGTCCAGGTAGTGTCCTCTCCGTTGCCCAATGTCCATACCGCCCCATCTCCTCCCTCTGCACTTGCTGTCCCGGATGCTCCTCCTCCCCTTCACCCGTCCGTCCTTCCCCCTACATGCCCCACCTCTTCTCCTACTTTAGCACATGGGCCCTCCAACTCCTCGTCCCCAGCTCCCCATCCTTCGGCACCCTCTCCTGCCACTTCATCCCATCCCGCCTCCCCATCTTCCATAACCCGTGACATGCAACCATCTCCTCCACCAAGGCCCGATCTTCCTCTCCTTAACAATCCTACCCGGACCCATCCCATGACCACTCGCTCCATCAACAATATCTTTAAACCTAAAGTCTTACATCAAGCCTTCACCACCTCTCCCATTGTGGCCAATGAACCCACATGTGTGACTCAGGCCCTTAAAGATCCCAGTTGGCGGCAGGCCATGTCTGATGAATTTAGTGCTCTGGTTCGGCAAGGTACGTGGGAACTGGTTCCATCTGCCCCTACACAGCATTTGATAGGTTGCAAGTGGGTATTTCGTTTAAAACGGACTACAGATGGTACCATTGATCGCCATAAAGCTCGCCTTGTGGCTAAAGGCTTTCATCAACGCCCAGGTTCTGATTATTTTAATACCTTTAGTCCTGTCATTAAACCCACTACTATTCGCACTGTTTTATCCATAGCTGTTAGTCGGAATTGGGCCATTCGACAGTTGGATGTCAATAATGCATTTTTGCATGGACATCTTGAAGAACAATTGTTCATGAAACAACCGGCTGGGTTTGTGGATCCTAATTTTCCTGATCATGTATGTAGGCTCCGGAAATCCATTTATGGCCTTAAACAAGCTCCTCGGGCTTGGTTTCAAGAGCTTAAGGACTTCATCTTGTCGCAGGGCTTTACACACTCCCGATCGGATACTTCGCTTTTTATTTATCACAAAGCCTCTACCTGGATCTATTTTCTGGTGTATGTAGATGATATTATTATTACTGGCAGTGACTCTACTGCCATTCATTCCCTGGTTCGCGTCATGGGGGATCGGTTTTCCATTAAGGATTTGGGCCACCTCAATTTTTTTCTTGGCGTCGAGGCGATTCCCACCAATGGTGGTCTGTTCCTGTCACAGCATCGGTATATTTCTGATCTCTTACATCGTTTTCACATGCAGGATGCCAAGCCTGTCTCCACCCCTCTCGCCTCTACCTGCACTCTTCACCTTCACTCTGGCGATCCTCTACCCGATGGGTCTGAATATCGGCAGCTTCTGGGTTCCTTGCAGTATCTGGCCATGACGCGTCCTGATCTTTCTTTCGCTGTCAACCGGCTGTCTCAGTTCATGCATCAACCTACCACTGTCCATTGGCAGGCTGCTAAGCGGGTGTTGCGCTATCTGCGAGGTACATGCTTCCATGGGCTTCTGCTTCGCCCTCAACCCTCATTGTCTCTCCATGCCTTTTCGGACGCCGACTGGGCCGGTGATCGTAGCTCATTTGTTAGCACCACTGGCTATTTGGTTTTTCTGGGTTCCAATCCCATTTCCTAGCGCGCTGCCAAACAGAGAGCAGTTGCTAGAAGCTCCACCGAGGCCGAGTACAGGGCGCTCGCAGCTACTGCTTCTGAAGTGATCTGGATCAGTCACTTGCTCTCAGAATTGGGTGTTTCTCCTCCGGCTTCTCCTGCCATTTTCTGTGATAATGTGGGTGCTACCTATCTGAGCTTGAATCCCGTCATGCACTCTCGCATGAAACACATTGCCATTGATCTTCATTTCGTGCGAGACTTGGTTGATAAACGGCTTTTGCATGTCTCCCATATCTCCTCTCATGATCAACTGGCCGATGGTCTCACCAAATCTCTCTCCACAGCTAGGTTCTCCACTCTTCGATCCAAGATCGGTGTTGCCGACGGCACCTCCGTCTTGCGGGGGCGTATTAAGGACAATAATTCCAAGCAAATCAAATCTTAGATTTACTAAATCAATTTGTTATTACTACTGTATTACATATATATATTCAGTTTCCTTTTTGTATTTGGATTCTAATTGCAGAGACTTGTATATATTGTGCAAGTTGTATGAATAACATAAGACATTCAGAATCAAGAGCTTTGCATCCTATTATATATAATTTAAATTATTTTAAATTACTTAATATATTTTACATTAAAAAATTATTTTATAATTTAAATCATATTAAATTATAAAATAATACTTTTTAATTTAAAAAACCCTTAATATTAAGTTCTCTTCTTTTATCTAAAAAATTTAATTTTATATTATAATACAATATAAATTATAAAACAACAAATTATTTTCAAAATATATACTCTAGTAAATATTAATGATTAAAATCTGTACCAAAAAAAAATTTAATGATTAAAACCGTGAATTAGATTAGGCTATTTGGCAACAGGATAGACAACCTGGCATTTCAACGTGTAATTTTTTAATTGGATGGGTTAGCCAACCGGATGAGTGATCTGGCATCGTAATCATTGTCAAATGACAGCACATCATCTAGCGTTAAATGATTCAATCAATAATATGATCCGACGGCTAAAACCGTAAGTAGACCTATTTTTATATAATTTAATATGTTATTTATATGATTAATTATTTTTAATTATATAAATCTCGTTATATTAAATATTTTTACTTATTTAATATATAAAAATTATATAAAAAAATAATAAATAATAAAAAACAATTCACCTTATAGCACCACTCCACACAGTGACTTTTGTCTAGTTTTAGAGAAAAAAAAGTAAGGTGGGTCCCAGGTGATTAATGGGGGTAGAACCAAGTCTAAGTACGGATGACGATAGACAAGGTTGAACATTTATAAATGAAAATGAAGTTGGATCAGTTTCCATTACTAAATTAATTTTAAACGTGTGGGCAAAGTCAAGTTACCTCTGGCTCATTTCTCTCAGCTGCATTGAATGAATAAAATGCACAATCTTTTAT